TAGCCGAGCACGAGGACGGATAAACGAGAGCGCCCAAACAACCAACCGCGGCCGTCAAAAAGAAATGCAGAGCCGCGAAAGAAAAAAATCAATACGGGAGGACAAAAACTCCTAACTCCACATCCGCGTGAAAAATCAGATCGGGAGCCGAACACACGGAAACATAGCAAACAAAGCATACGGGACGGAAGAAACCACAAAAAACAGATTTAGGAGGAGTAGAGGGCGGAAACAGGCAGGAAAGCCGCACCGGTGCTTCATCGGAGGTGAGGCCGGGAAGACCTGCCCGACGAACCCGCAACTACTGCCCCAACACAACCCTATAACCCACCAAGCACACCAGACCGCGTACGCTAACAACTACTCCCCAATAATGCACCCAAAATCTCTACCAAAAACCTTGCAGAAATCGGCCGAGAGGCTCATCATCCACCAAGGCGATACCAACAGACGCACCCGCAGAAATGTGAAACAGAGCACAGAACCGCGACCAAAAGCCAACCCAAAAAACAAAATCTAAAACCCGAGCAACAAAACGAAAAGAGAAAAACAAAAAAAAAACAAAAAAGAAATAATAACAGAAACGAAAATGGCGACGGGGAACCACACGGCGAGCTGAAAACATGGAGAGCAACAAAAAGCGAGAGAAACAGCGCCGAGGAAAGTCTTCCGTCTCTCCAGGACGTGGTCTCGTCCGCTTCCACGATCCCCTTGACCACCTCCGGATCGCTCCGCGCCGCCGCCAGAAGCGGTGACGCCAGCGGACGTCCGTGTGCCATCCGCCACTCGCAGCGCGCCGCCGAGCCTTCAATCACCGCTCTCTCAGCTTCGCAGCGACGCCCGCGAACGACAGCCAGCGTATCCTCTTGGGTTCAGAGCCCGACAGCGGCGTACCGCTCAGCGCGTTGATCGGCCCTGCCGCGCAGCTGCACCTGGTACCGTAGCGGCGCAGACCCCAAGCGCCACTACCGCGCGAACCGCCCCTCCCCTCGCTCGTCGCCAGTGCGACCGGCGCCGGCCTCGCCTCCACACCACGCTCGAGCCGCTGCCTTCGACTGCCTCGCCCGCGCTCTCGCCCGCGCTCACGGGCAGACAGTACCACCGCCAGCGCCTCGCGTCCGCTGCGCCGCGTCAGCCCGCGCGCCGCCGAAAGGCCACACCTGAAACCCTGACGTCCTAATCCAACCTCCTGACGCTTCCAGGCAGTCCTATCACAAATACATATCCGATTCGCGAATGAGCCTAGAGTATTGACCCCCGATTGGAGTGGGCCCCTGGGGTCGGACAGGTGGATGAATTGATTTGACCGGTGCGCCGGGCATTCGACGGATCGACGCCCATGGCAAAGATGCCGTAATGGGGCTCGGCGCTCACCGGCGACGTTTGAGCTATTGCGATGGCGGAGATTCGGGTGTCGTTGCCCTTGCACGCGTAGCGTGCTCACGGGGTCTTGCCGAAAGGCGCGGCCCATATCCTTGACAGGAAAGGGCAACGACGTGGATGTCTTCGTCGGTCTCGACGTATCGCTGGCAAGCACCGCAATCTGCGTTCTCGGCGAGAAGGGCCAAATCCTGGGGGAGGCGCAGGTCGCCAGCGCGCCCGAAGTCGCTCGTTGCGTTCATATGCGCAAGCTGCCGCACGGGATCGCCGTGGGTCGATCGGGTGCTGAACCCGTCCCTGTCTCACTCGCGTTGCAGCAGGGCTTTGAGCGACGCCGGCTTCGAGACCGTGCTGATGGAGACCCGGCAGGTGAAGTCCGCGCTGAAGGCCATGCCGATCAAGACGGACCGCCGGGATGCCGAAGGCATCGCACGGCTTTTGCAGATGGGCTGGTTCCGGCCGGTGCACTGCAAGTCGGTGTCGTCGCAGGAGATGCGGGCGCTGCTGACGTCGCGCAAGGTCCGTGCTGGACTCCCCGCCCGGCCCAGTCTCACCATCATGGTGCTGGCAGCATCTCGCTTCGCGGCTGTCTCTTTGCGCACTTCGCTTGAAGCTGGCCGGTCTCCAGGGCCGCTACTACGAGGCCCGTGTCCGGGAATTGACCGCAGGCAACGCGATGCGCTGGAGGCCGCGGCCGAACCGATCCTGCCTGCGCGGTGCGTGCGAGACCTGAAAAAAGAAAACCAATGAACGTCAAGGAAAGAGCAAAGACATGCCGGCCTGGAGAAGCTGGTCCGCAATCTGGCCAGGCAGGACCGGGCGTGCCGGCTGCCGAGTGACCATCAGACATCCTCGGGCGTCGCGCCGGTCCATAGCCTTGTTACTCTTGCACAGTCCCCGCGAGTACGACGACCCGGAGCGGTTCCGGAGATCGAAGGATCGGCTCGGCGCCCCAGATGGGCGGGGCTGACGCGTGAGACGGTGGACCATTCCTCGTGCGAAGGCGGGATATGTGTCGGCCGATGACACGAAGGCCGGCGATGCCGGTCTGCGCGCGCGCGCTCTCTACCAAGCGCGCACTGTTTGTGATGGGTTCGTGAACCACCGTCGTGTTCGGACGTCTGCGCTGTCGGTCAGCGTCTGACGAAGCTCCACGCCAGTGCAAGAGCGAGCGTCGCACCGTGCCCTGCACGCGCGGATCGGCCGTGGTGCTTCGGATCATACGCATGTGGCCTGGACTGTGGTCACCGAGTTCCGCTTGACAGACGCGTGAGGAGCGATGGCGCGTCATGGACGGCCATACAGCGCGCAGCGGCATCCCATCCGGTCCGATAGTCGACGATAGAGGAATGTCGCGCCGGAGATGGCGCCACGGTGTCCCTTCGCCGGGACGCGTCGGGCCCCGATCGATGCAGCGTTGCGGCGCGGTGCTTGTTTGCCACGACCGTATCATGTCCTTGGTACCAGGGACTGATGCAAGAAGTGCGAGACACGCGGGCAAGAGATGGCACTCGGGAACCGTGTGGAATGGGGCGACATGTAAGTGGGCTAGCCTCCAAAGGCGCTGACCACGACGGAAGTCAGAGACGCCAGCGAAGGACACATTGAGGTGAGCGCGCACGCTGCGAAGGCGCGGCCGCTAAATCAAACATAGCGCAGGTTACCCGGCTTACCGGGGGCAGCGAGAACTCTTACACCGCGCCTGTGGTCAGAACTTTCCGCAGGTTCCAAAGCCTCGCGAACGAATGATCGTGTCGCAGCGATGACCCATGGCGAAATGGAGCTTGACGGCAAACGCCATTACGGAAGCACCGCACCCACAGCATCGCCTTCAAGCGCCAGGTCGTTCAGGAGTATCTCGCCGGCGAGACCCTCCACGGCCTGGCGCGCCGCCACGACCTCTCCCGCACCCTGATCCGGATCTGGGTCGACAAGTACGAGGCCGGCGCCTTCGACGAGGACGCCGAGGCGGCCACACGATCCAGGAGTACGAGGCCCGGATCGCGGCCCTCGAGCGCCTGGTCGGCAAGCAGGCCCTGGAGCTCGAGTTCCTAAGGGGGCGCTCAGCAGCAAGGACGACGGCCGAGAAGCGCGCCCATGTCCGTCATCACCGGCCCAAAGGTCTCTCCATCGCGCAAGGATGCCGGCTGATGAGGATCGCGCGCTCCAAGTACTACGAATGGCCGTCAAGACGGCCGACGGCTACCAGCGCCAACGAAGCGCCGTGCGTCACGGAGAGGGGGAGCCCGGGCGTGAGCGGGCGGCGGGCGGCGCTCCGGAGGGAGCCGCTCCTGCCGTCCTCATTCACCTTTCCGAAGGAGCACGGCACGATGCAGACGGTCCTGGCTCCGCGTGGCGACGCGCGCACATTCCTCACTCATTTCGTCGGGGACGGTCTCGATGACGACCGTTATGTCGTCGAGAAATACCGCTCGCTCGCGAACGGTAACAGGAGGCGATGGTGATGCAGCCGGACGACCTCTTGTAGCTTTATGACCCATCGCATGCGGAACCTGGCGGCCAAGGCGCCGGAGGACCTCTGGCCCGAGTTCAAGGCTCGCGTCATCGCTGCCTACCAGACCCCGTCTCGCGCCATCGCCCGCGATCTCGCCAGCGGTGTGGTCGCCGATTACCAGAGGGAACTGCCGAGCGCGAGCGCCTGCTTCGAGGATGACTTCGAGGCCTGCATCGCGCACCTGCGCATTCCGATCACCCACCGCCGCGCGATCAGGACCACGAATCTCGTTGAGCGCCTGTTCGTCGAGGAACGCCGGCGGCTCAAGATCATCCCCAACGCCTTCAGCGAGAGGCTCGTGCTCAAGCTCATCTTCGGCGCCATGATCCGCGCCGCCGAGCGTTGGCGCGCCATCAAGGTCGGCGAGCTCAAGCGTCGTCAGATGCGCGCGGTAAGAGAGGAACTCGACCGAGAATACGAGACCGCCAACGGCCTCGGCACAAAGGCCTCAGCTCCTGCACGCCAAGCCCGAATATCCAGCACCTCTCGGACTTGACCCCGGAATTCCGTAAACAAATAGGAACCGACTGACATCCAATCTGCGTCTGTACTAGTCCATCGATGGCGACGATGCCAGCCCCGAACGAGCTGCACGATATACGCCACAGCTTTGGTGCAGTGCTTTTTTCATAGATATGTCGTTGTTGGTCGTCTGTATGCGCTGATGGAATACAGTTGCATGATATTTTCGCTTCGATCCCATGGTGCGCAACTATCGGGTGGCCGGGTTTGCTCGCGCTTTCTAGGGTGGCGCCTCGGGAGGGACGCCGCCATGACAGCGCCATCTGAGGACATGGGCACGGACATCGCGCAGAACGCGCGCGACTACGCCCGTATCGAAGCCGCGATCCTCTATCTGGAAGAACACTTCCGCGATCAACCGGAGCTGGGCGAGGTGGCGGAGGCGGCCGGCCTCGGCCCGCACCATTTCCAGCGCCTGTTCCGGCGCTGGGCAGGCATCTCGCCCAAGCGCTTCGGCCAGTATCTCACGCTGGACTACGCCAAGGCTCAACTGGAAGGCTCCGCCTCGATCCTCGATGCCGCCTATGACGCGGGTCTCTCCGGCCCCTCACGGCTGCACGATCTCTTCGTTACCTACGAGGCGATGAGCCCCGGCGCCTTCAAGCGACGCGGCGAGGGCGTGGAAATCGCTTATGGACTGCATCCGAGCCCCTTCGGCCCCTGCTTTGTCGGGCAGACGGAGCGCGGCATCTGCGCCCTGGGTTTCGCCGATGGTGGCGAGGGCAATGGCGAAGCAGTCCGCGCCGAGTTCGAGCGTCGCTGGCCCGCCGCGCGCTTCCACGAGGATCGTGCCGCTACCGCTCACGTCGCAGCGCGCATTTTCGGCGAGCGCCCAGCAGACAGCACGCCACTCCGCCTGGCTGTCGCCGGCACCAACTTCCAACTCAAGGTCTGGGAGGCACTGCTGCGCATTCCCCCCGGCCGCATCACCTCCTACCACGCGCTGGGCCAGGCGCTGGGGCTGCCGCGTTCGGCCCGCGCGGTGGGCGGCGCCGTTGCCGCCAACCCGGTCTCGTATCTGATCCCCTGCCACCGGGTGATCCGGCACACGGGCCGCATCTCGCACTATGAGTGGGGCCGCTCCCGCAAGCGTGTCATGCTGGGCTGGGAGGCGGCGCACTTCGGTCCGGCCGCGAGCGACGGCGCATAGTCGGGCGGCTTCAGGCCTGTTTCGCCTGGGCCTCACGGATGAGGGCGCGGAGCCGGCTCGGCGGCAGCGGCAGGCTGTCGATGGTGACGCCCAAGGGCTTGAGCGCGTCCTCGATGGCGGCTGCGATCGCCGGCGGGGCGCCCATGCGCCCGCCCTCGCCGCCGCCCTTCACCCCGTATTCGGTGAAGGGGGACGGCGTCTCGACGTGGCCGACGACGATATCGACCGGCGTCTCCTTGATGGTGGGGATCAGATAGTCGGTCCAGAGCGCGGTCGTGAGCTGGCCGGCCTCGTCGTAGCTGAACTCCTCGAAGAGCGCGGTGCCGATACCGTTCACCGTGCCGCCCCGGATGTGCCCCTCCAGCGTCATGGGATTGACCATCGTGCCGCAGTCGTGGACGGCGGCGTAGTGGAGAAACTGCACCTGGCCGGTCTCGATATCGACCTCGACCACCGGGATGTGACAGCTATGGCCCATGATCGGATAGAAGATCCCCATGTGGCGCTCGTCGGGGTCAGGCAGGGTCGTCACCGGATGGTCGTAGACGTAGGTCGCGTCGAGCCCGCTGGTGAGGTCGAGGTCCTCGGGCATGCTGAGCCGGTAGTAGTGCGCCTTGTCGGCGAGCTCGGCGATGCTCATCTTCATGCCGGGCACGCCCTTGACGTGCACAGCGCCCTCCTCCAGCGCGAGGTCGCGGACGTCGGCCTCCATCAGGTGGGCGGCGATGCGGAACAGCTTCTCGCGAATCTTGCCGGCGGCGCCGACGATGGCGCCGGTCACCATGACCGTGAAGCGGCTGCCGCCCGGCCCAGTGGAGTTGAGGCCCTGGTCGGTGTCCGAATAGGTGATCTCGATGTCCGCAGGGTCGATGGTGAGCTGCTCGGCGAGCACCTGGGCGGCCACCGTCTCGGGGCTGTTGCCCCAGAAGGGCGAGTGCAGGGTGACGAAGGCCTTGCCGGTGGGGTCGATCTTGACCGAGACCGCGTCGGGCGAGCTGGTCCACTCGACGCCCGGTTCCAGGTTCCACATCCAGAATTCGGTGGCGCTGAAGACGCTCCGCTCCTGACAGGTGGCGACGCCGATGCCGATGTAGCGGCCCCTCCTTGCGCGCCTCGGCCTGCTTTGCCCGCCAGCCGTCCACGTCGGCGAGCTTCAGCGTCTCGTCGAGGACCGCCTGATAGTTGCCGCTGTCGTACATGTTCCCGGTCGGGATCAGATAGGGGAACTGGTCGGGCTGGATGAAGTTCTGCCGCCGGAGCGCGATCCGGTCGACGCCGAGCTCGTCCGCCGCGGCGTCCACGAGCCGCTCGATGACGAAGTTCGCGACCTCGGAGCCGAAGCCGCGATAGGCGCCCTGCTGGCACTTGTTGGTCAGCACGGCAGCCAGATCGATCTCCACGCTGTTGATGCGGTAGGGACCCACGCATTGCGAGAGCGCGTTGCCGTGCTGGCCGACGCCGAACTGCAGATAGGCGCCGTAGTCGTCGATGATCCGGGTCTTCAGGCTGAGCAGCGTGCCGTCCCGCTTGAGCGCGAGCTTGGCGTAGTAGACGCGGTCGGACGCGTGATTGTCGCAGCTCGTGGTGTTGTCGATCCGGTCTTCCATGAACTTGACCGGCCGCCCCACCGCGCGCGCCAGCACCGCAGCCAGCACCGGAACCTTGTGGACGAACATCTTGCTGCCGAAGCTGCCGCCCGCCAGCGTCGGCACGATGTTGAGCTTGTGGGGCGGCACGCGGAGCGTGCTCGCGATCATCCAGCCGCAGTAGTTGTACATCGACGTGTTGCACTGGATGGTGAAGCGGCCCGCGCCGTCATCGAAGCTCGCCACGGCGCCCACCGTCTCCAGCGGCTGGCCGCCCGAGCGCGGCCAGCGGAAGCGGCGCTCGATGACCAGATCGGCGGCCGCGAAATCCTCCTCCACCGGCCCGAAGGTGAGCTTGCGCTCGAGCGCGATATTGGTGTCGCCACGCGCGGGGTGCAGGACGGCATCGCCCGCAGACGTCAGCGCCTCTTCGGGATCGACGACCGGGGGCAACGGCTCGTATTCGACCTCGATCAGATCGCACGCGTCCTCGGCGATGTAGCGATCCTCCGCCGCCACCGCCGCCACCGCCTCGCCGACATGGCGCACCCGGTCATGGGCGATCACCGATTGGAGCACCGGCGGGCTCGCCCAGGTGGGGAGCGGGTCGCAGACTTGCGCCGCGTCGGCGCCGGTCATCACGCAAGAGACGCCGGGGAGCGCGGCGGCCTTGCTCACGTCGATGGAGACGATCCTGGCGTGGGCATGGGGGCTCCGCAGCACCGCCGCGTGCGCCATCTCCGGCACATTCACGTCGTCGGCATAGACCCCCTTGCCGACCAGGAGGCGCGGGTCCTCCACCCGCTTCATGCTCTTGCCGATCCATTGCAGGTCGCCGCGCGGCTTCTCCCGCTGCCGGCTCTCGGGGATATGGCCGCGCTCGCTCATGAGCCGTCCTCCCGCATCAGGCGCGCCGCGTGCTGGATCGACTCCACGATGGTCTGATAGCCGGTGCAGCGGCAGAGATTGCCGGAGATGGCGTCGCGGATATCGTCGACCGACGGGGTCCGGGTTCCGCTTCAGGAGCTCGACGGCAGTCATCAGCATCCCCGGCGTGCAGAAGCCGCACTGGAGGCCGTGCTTCTCCCAGAACGCCTGCTGCACCGGGTGCATCGCGTCGACCGTGCCGAGACCCTCGATGGTCTCGATCTCGGCGCCGTCCGCCATCACCGCGAAGGTGAGGCAGGAGCGCGCGGTGACGCCGTCCATCATCACCGTGCAGGAGCCGCAGACGCCGTGCTCGCAGCCGACATGGGTGCCGGTGAGGCGCAGGTCGTCGCGCAGGAAATCGCTGAGCAACCGGCGCGGCTCGACCGTGCGCTCGTAGGCCCTGCCGTTGACGGTGCACGCTGATCGTCTCGCGCTCCATTGCCCGACCCTCTCAGGAACAGCGCTCGGCGGCCCGGCGCAGCGTCCGCCGGGTGAGCGCGGCGATGGCATCGCGCCGGTAGGCGGCATCGGCGTGGCTGTCGCTGTGGGGATCGACAGCGCCTGCGGCCGCGGCTGCCGCGCGATCGAGGCTCGCATCGTCGATGGGCCTGCCGATGAGCGCCTCCTCCGCCGGCGTGAGCCGCGCCGCGTGCTCGCCCACCCCGCTCGCCACCACGCGCGCCGCCTCGCAGCGCCCGTCGTCGAGCCGCAGCGTCGTCGCGATCACGGCGATGGCGAAGTCGCCGTGCCGGTTGCTGATCTCGGCGAAGGCCCAGCCGTGGGCGCCGCGGCCGGGAATGCGAATCTCGACCAGCATCTCGTCCTGCTGCGCCGCGGTCTCGTAGGTGCCGAGGAAGAAGTCCTCCGCCGCAACCTCGCGGCTGCCCGCAGGCTCCGCAGCACCAGCGTGGCGCCCACGCGATCATCACCGCCGGCGTCTCCGAGGAAGGGTCGGCGTGGCAGAGGTTGCCGCCGAGGGTGCCGCGGTTGCGCACCGTGTGGTGCGCGATGGATTCGTAGGCTTCCGTCAGCAGCGGGCAGCGCGCCCCGACCAGCGGCGAATGCTTGACGTCGTTGTGCCGGGCGAGCGCGCCGATGGCGACGCCGTCGCCATCCTCCCTGATGTAGCCCAGGTGGGCGATGCGGTTGATGTCGATCAGGCAGGCGGGCTTGATGAGCCTGAGATTCATCATGGCAATCAGGCTCTGGCCGCCCGCCAGAATGCGCGCGTCGGGGTGTCGGCGAGCGCCTGCAGCGCGTCGTCGACGCTCGCAGCCCGCAGGTAGCGGAATGGCGCGGGTTTCATGGCGCGAGAGCCTCGCGGACCGCGCGCTTCGCCATCACGCCGACGAGGTGCGCGCGGTAGTCCCTGTCGGCGTGCAGGTCCTCATTGAGGCCCTCGCTATCCACCGCGATGCCGTCGAGGGCCTGCTCGGAGAAGTTCCCGGCCAGCGCCGCCTCCATTTCCGGCACGCGGAAGACGTGGGACCTGGCGCCCGTGACGGCGAGGCGCACCGCGCCGCCGCCTGCGACACCATCACCGCGACCACCGCGAAGCGCGAGGCCTGGTTGCCGAACTTGGCCCAGCCGGCGCGTTCGGGGATCGGGAAGTCGACCGAGACCACGATCTCACCCTCCTCCAGCGCGGTCTCGTAAAGCCCAGTGAAGAAGTCGTCGGCGGCGATCGCGCGCCGGTCGGTGTTGACCGTCGCCCCAGCCGAGCAGGCCGGCCGGGTAGTCGGCCGCCGGGTCGGCAAAGCAGATCGAGCCGCCGATGGTGCCCCGGTTGCGCACCTGCACGTCGCCGATGGAACCCGCGAGCGCCGCGAGTGCGGGGATTGCTCCCCTCACCTCAGGGCGATTCAGCGACCGCCGCGTGCCGGGTCATGGCGCCGACCCGAATGATGCCCGTCGTGCCGCTCGATCCCGGCCAGCGCCTCGATGCCGTTGAGATCGACCAGGTCCGCGCAGGAGGCGAGGCGGAAGCGCATGGTCGGGATCAGGCTCATGCCGCCGGCGAGCAGCCGGCCGTCCGCGCTCGCGGCGAGATGGGCCTTGGCCTCGTCGAGCGAGGCGGGCCGGTGGTAGGCGAAGGGATACATCGCTCCCCCTCAGCGCTGGCTTCGCGCCCGCGCGCGTGGGCGCGCGACGCCTTGGCGCCGGCGGCGATGGACTCGACGATGTTGTGATAGCCCGTGCAGCGGCAGAGATTGCCTTCGAGCTCGCTGCGGATCGTCGCTTCGTCGGGCGCCTCGTGGCGGTTCGCGATGTCGATCCCCATCATCACCATGCCGGGGGTGCAGAAGCCGCACTGCAGGCCGTGATGCTCCTTGAACGCGGCCTGCATCGGGTGCAGCCGGTCCGGCCCGGCGATGCCCTCGATGGTGGTGACCTCGGCGCCCTCCAGCTGCACCGCGAGAAGAGCGCAGGACTTCACCGGCCGGCCGTTGAGGTGGACGGTGCAGGCCCCGCACTGGCTGGTGT